TCGGAGGCGGTACAGTTCGTTTCGGGCATTTCGGGCACGGTTTGGGTCTCCAAAGGCTCGTTCCAGGATGTCCAGGATATCGGTGAAGTCGTTCAGTTGGCAGATGCCATCGCGGATGGAAGGCAGAATCTGGGCATAGGGTGTGCCCTTCAGACGGTTAGTGACATAGGTCATTCGGGATTGCGGGGTCGGAAAACGGTCGCGGTTGATGTTCAGCTTCTCCTTAATCTGGGAGGAGAATCGGCGGAGATCCTTCCGGTCCCCTTCAAACTTGTCAGGGTCGGGAAGGCGTTCAGATCGTACGTGGGAGCCGGAAGATTCGGGACTAAGCGACGGAGGCGTTCCCATAGCAGCAGCTACACCAGGCTCAGCGGCAGGTTCAGGGACAGGGGGAGGTACGGTATTTCCCGTCGGGATGGCGAGTTCGGCTGCACACATTCGTGCAGCCTCGATACGGGCAATGTTCTGTTGCGCTTCGTCATAAAGCTTCTTCTGGTATTCCAGGAACGCGACATCTCGGAGGTGATCACGCTCAGCTGCGGTCAGTTCGCTTGACAGGCGGGTGATCTTGATCCTCGCGGCTTGTAGCTGCCGTTCGGCTTGGTCCACTCGTTCGCGAGCGTTGGTCGCCTCGGACTGGGTACTCTCAATGTAGTCGTACGCGCGGCGGCAGTATTCGAACCATTGGTCAGGATGGTCTCTCGCGTGTTCGACGAATGTTCTAGGTCGCTGGGCAGGAACGGAGGTTGCGGGCTGGTTCAGACATCTTCAGACAGTCAACTCTTAGGGGTAGGAGCTACGTAGTGTCAGGGTGCGGGCTGGCAGGACGGTATGATAGGAGATGACTGGTAGGAACAGGTCGTAACAGATCAGATTCCCATTGACAGGTACAGGCAGAGGCAGGCTATTATACAAGACGTAGCTCCCAGAGCTACAACAGGATCTAGAACTGAAGTTCAGATAAACAGGTCGGAGATCACGTGCCGTGATCTTCCTCTAACTAAGCATCACGGTTTGCACCGTGACAGAGGAGATGGTGATTCCAGGGGGGAATGGATAGCGTTAAGGGCGGGCTATGGTTCTTGCCAAATATCGCTTGATTTCGTACTAAGATAAGTGATGCTTTCCCACTTGAAATCGCAGCTTGCCTTTCTACTGTCTATTTAAGCTGTCTTGGGTCTATGTCTTCTTTTTCGATTGGAATACAGAGAAGAGCTATAACCGTTCCAAAAGGAGTTTATCTTTCAGATAGCTCCATACGACTGATGTTTAGGACTAATCTACTTGTAAACTCCGGATGTTAAATCTGCCGCTTCACTATCACCCGATTAACAATATCTAAGTCTTCTTTTCAACGGTGCAATCATCTCTGGTTCTTCACCGTACATAATCTCACCAATACTCGATAACTCCTACCAAGAGAGTTTCTACCGCCAAATCCAACCCCTACAAACCCCTAGCGGCGTAGACTATAGTTGGTCTTCAGAGCACCTAGCGACAGCTACATGCCACTGCGGCGTCATAGAGCTTGCCTTTATGGGTGTAGCGTATACCCCAAAAATCGACAATCGCATAGCACTAAGATTCACCGCAAACTATGGCCAATGTCCTTGACTGGGAAAGTCTGGGAAGACGGAGTTAAGACTATACGCTTAAGGTTGGAAGGTTAGCATACCTGACTCCTCATCCGACGCAGATTAGGGTCGGTGGAGAAGGCTTTGAGGCATGCCCCACACGTGAGAGGAGCAACGATGGCAAGGGGAGTTGAAAACCGCAATGTCAAGGATGGTGCGAAGTCAGTCCCGAGGTTAGCGAAGTGGAGCTTTTTGTCAAGAGTGGGATGTGCCCGAGTTTTGATCAGTGTCTAGCGCAGAATGTGCAAGGGGAAAATGCAAGACTTACTCCATACTCCGTACTTTGTCCTCAACTGCCAATTGTGGGGAAAGGTTGGGTCCTGGCATTGACTCTGGTACTTGACAGGTCCATCTCCGTCTCCCTTGACAAATTTAGAATTTTAAAGTGAGATGAAAGAATACCTATTGGCTTCGCTCATATTGCCGCCTGTGTGAGGTTGGCTTTCTGCACTCGGGTTAACAGATGTAGAGAGGGCGGTAGAACCACCTTGGATTGAAGGCACAATGTTTGAATATGCAAATGGAAATGGGATTTTTAGCATTAAATGACAATGCTTACCTTGTATCCATAAGAATCTTATGCCATGATATCCGTCACAGTGCTGATTGAATTTACTCATCACCCAATTGCTCCACCGCTTTCCTGTGTCATCACAGATCTGCACCCAGAGGCCAGTGGAGCCAATTTATTATGCGGCATGATAGATCCACTGTGGATTAGAATTGTGCTCACCGCGTGTGAGAAAGAGGCAACGGTGACTCGCACTTCATGTGAAGCCAAGGGGAACAATCGATTGCCAAGCATCCAATCACGAGGCTCAGGGCTGGGTTAGCACAGGGAGATCGACCGTGTCAACTCCGTAGACGGGCCATTTTCTCTCACTGCACTCTTCGCTTAGTGGGCCCTTGGGTCCTGAGCTTAAGCCATCCTCACGGAGTTAGCCGGAGATCCACTACCAGCACTGTTGGTGGACACAGACAGCATTAAAAGGTAACCTGATGTGTCGCCGTCACTGGGACATTGAGCGTTTGGCAATCTTGTTTCCCTTCTATCTCAATTTAGAACTCCCTTTCCTTCCGCAAACGACAACATGCGCATTCAGTCATTTTTTGAGGGGCTTTGTTTACTCTCGCCTCTTTTCACACAACCAGCCTTTGCCGCGCCACGTCAGTCGAGAAGCTACCAAACCCGGCCAGCTTCCAAGGTCTTTCAGCTCGAGCGAAATGGCACCTGGTTTGAGAATCTCGCTGTCCGGTCAAATGGTAACCTTCTAGCCACGCGAATTGACAGCCCGGAGCTTTGGTCAATTGTGCCAAGCAACAACAGTAGTAGCCAGCTAGGGCATGGCTCCCTTCTGCTCACTTTTCCCAACGCTATGAGTACTCTGGGCATTACAGAAATCGACCACGATGTTTTTGCCGTAATTGCTGGCAACGTTTCTCTCCCTAGCATCGTTTCGACCACGGGCTCATTTGCTGTCTGGACTGTCAATCTCAACAGTGCTACACCCGAGGCCAAGGTTCTAGCATCTCTCCCTGGCGGTCAGTTTCTTGATGGGATGACCAAGTTCGGCGATGACCTTCTTTTGATTTCCGACGCTCACAAAGGGACAATCTGGCGCCTCAACATCACAACCGGAGAATCGTCAGTGGCCATGTCAGGTGCTGCAATGCTCCCCGCTGCTGGGCAGGCCATTAGAATCGGCGTGAATGGGCTCAAGGTGTTGAAAAACTATGTTTACTACACTAGCACCACCCAGGAAATCTTTGCTCGCATCCCGGTTGACGAAAACGCAACCGCTGTGGGACCGATGGAATTGATCACCAGCGGGTTCTCGTTCGACGATTTCATCCTGACGGCCAACGGAACGGCCTACCTTTCGGCAAACACCCAGAACGAGGTGATTCAAATATCGCCTGAGGGACGTGTTCGTTTGTTGGCAGGTAACCAGTTTAAGTTGTCCGTTGGGGGATCAACTGCCATCGCCATCAATCATGAACATTCGATTTTGTACGTTGCGACCAGCGGAGCCCAGTTTGCGCCAGTTC